CAGGTTTCAGGGGGCGGGTCAAGGGTGGGATGGGTAGGGCATGGGCCAAGATGTACGGAACACACGTGAACTAGCTAAGCCCCGCCCACTGTGGGCGGGGCGTGCGCACAGTTGTGAGCTACATATTTCAAAAATTCGTAAATCGGTTCCAAAAGAGCCCGGAGAGTGGAAAATGTGGCAAATGATAGGCAATCAGTTGGCGGACGAAATGAGTGAGACACACCATTATGGGCGGGGCGTTCCATAGGTGGGCGGTGCTTGCCACAAAACATTCAAAAATTCGTAACTCGGTTCCAAAGGAGCCCGGAGAGTGGAAAATGAGGCAAATGATAGGCAACAAGTTGGCGGACGAAATCAATGAAGCACACCCCTGATGGGCGGGGCGTTCGCCGAAGTGAACGGTGCCGAGGACAAAAACCCTCAAAACGCATCCGAAAAACCCCACGAAATGGGGAGTAAGGTGAAACTGAGCAATGGTTTGGCAGATGAAGTTAGTGAGGGATAACCGTAGGGAGTACACCAAATGGTTGGTAGCCGACCGATCCGACTGGTCATATCATAAAGCATGTTCGAAAGTGTGCGTGGAAAACGAGGGCACCACTAACAAGCAGAGGATAAAGACATTGCGTCGGGAACGGCGACTTTCAAACAGAGATTTTTCCGTCCCCTCCTTAGACAAACTAATGTTATTCCGCCTTCTGCGGGATTCCTCACTGAGGTGAAGTTGGCGAAATAGCGACGCAAGGGAAGAGTTGATAATTAAAGGCGAACTATAAGACTGGAAAGCATTATTCTTACCTATTCCTACAAATTTTAGAGGAAAATAATTCCTTCGAAATGATATTCAATGGAACGGTTCGAACTGGGGTTTAGGTCGTCTGGTTCCAGCCAGTGGCTCATCACCAGCAGGCGCGTTCAGACCAGTGCCCTGATACTCAGTGTTTCGTTACGGAAACCAGAACATCCCTTCAAATGTGTTAAAGAGTTGTGGGTATCTCTTTGAGAGAAAAACTGTTTAGGAGCGGGCTTGCTGGACGCAGCCCCTGCTGCCATGATTCCCAACATTGGCGGCCGTGAAAACCACGACAGCGTTGGATGCGCTATATGCACCGGCGAAATAAAGGTTTGCATCCATTTCGGGTGTCAGTTACCGTTTTTCACAGCAAGCACTGGTACATTGCTCCCAATATGGACCCAACGGCTTTATGGAATTGATTGAGCGATGACCCACTTTTTGGCACTGATTAGACGTTACGACAAATTTTCTGAGGTTTAGTTTCAAAAGCACGAAATTCTCAAGCTGAGAAATATTGATTCCTTGGAGGTATTTGTCTACGTGAACCAGTGTATCCCATCCATTTAACGTGAAAAGCGCCCGCTGTACTACACTCCATCGACATGCCGTAGCACAGATGTGCGCCTAACTTTTGGCGCAGTTGTGGTGTAACATTCAAGCTCAGGGGCCAAACTACTCCCTCTCACAAATATTAGGCGGGTTTGGTGACCTGTGATGTTTTGGCGGGCAAGCGCCAAGCCGTTTTAGTAAGTATACTCCTCTTCATTACGGACTGTCGGGGCGGGTCAGTGCGGCTGCGTTTTCCGCGGTTCCAAAGTCTTTCTGCACCAGTTGTTGAAGCGATCAAATGACATAACAGCATTATATCCTTCGTATTACTCGTTTTCTACCACTTTTTGTCGCATACGCGCTTCAAAGAAAAGCTGAGAACGGCTTCAAACAGTGTGCGCACTCCTTCTGGCGTGACGGCCCGCCGACAGACCGTAATTGATGAGAGGAACCAAACGGAATACCCTGTGGCGTAAATTTCTTACCGTATTCACAAATGTGGAAAAATAAGAAAGCCTGACCCAAGCTTCTAAAAGCGGGTGGTAAGGGTGCGGGCCCATAGTGACGTATTAGATGAAATAAAGCGGTCACCAAGGCAGGTACGATATGTTCTTAGGTCCGTGATCACCTTTTTGGGCTAATGCCGTTTGGACTCCAGAAATTTCGGCTCCGAGCTCATTTTCAAATTGCCTAAGCCACCAAATCCACTAAAAACTTGTATATAGGGGTAATTCAACATCCTGATTACGAGTATGACACTCATTCTTGGCGCTGGCGCCAAGAGAGGACACTACGATTACCTCCTGGGCTCAGCCTTAGCAGAGCGCAGGTAACCGTAGTGTCATCCATTAGCGCCAGCGCCAAAAATGAATGTCATATTCGTGATCAGGATGTTGAATTACCCCTATATACAAGTTTTTAGCGGATTTGGTGATCTTGCCACTTTTAAAATGAGCTCGGAGCCGAAATTTCTGGAGTCCAAACGGCATTAGCCCCTTTTTGCTGCGCATGCAACTTCACACTTCAGCCATTCTGTCCTACTACTTACAGTCGCTATCCCCGCAAACGAGGGGACATTCGAAGAGGAGGGGAGGGGGAAAACGGAGCAGAACCAGGGGAGCCTGTTCCACCTGGCTGCGCTCCTGCCCACAAGCTCTCTCTTTTGCAGAGATAATGATGTATGAATTCAATATCAGTGAAGGGCTGATTTCAGGTTGCGTGCCCTTCGACAGGAAAAGAGATGGAAGCAGATGAGAGAGGCGAGTTGTGCCTGCGAGGGCCAACAGTTATGCAGGGCTACACGAACGAGGATTGCCAACCCGACGAAGCCGGCTGGTATCATACAGGTATTGAACGTTCCACTTTACCTCGACCGCGACATGACCGAACGACTCCAGACTTACGCCCTCAAACTGGGATTTCTAAAATAACTGACTAATAAGGAATACACCAGTTCAGGACAAGTGGGTCACCTCGACAGACACGGCAATGTATTCATCTCCGGTTATCAAAGCGATCTCATCGAAGTAGACGGACAACAGGTAAGAGTCTACAGGGGGGGGGGGGGAAGACTTTTCGACCGAGTCACATATCAGCAAAGTTTTCGCAGCCCAGACAGAGGACGTGGATACGAGTACCGAAGATACCCAAGATGTTCCTCTATAAGCAGGAGCTGGCTCTCGCCCATCACCTTCATGTACACCAAAATATGAAGTCATCTCCAGTCGCAGCCTGACTGGAGAAGACCTTTGGAATTCATGTCACCTCCAAACAGCTGCGAAACTTCTAGTATGGAGTCACCCATGGATAGCTACCTGGAGACCAGTACTCTCGATCTGGAAGACCTCCAACATCGAGCAGCTCCGACAACGTCGCTACGGTCTAGGACATCATCTTCACCGCAGTCGCCAAGGCGCGACTGTTGATGTTTGACTGACATTTACTCAATATCCTGAGATCAGGGTAGTTCGCTTGCATTCTTGAACTCAACCTGAATACTTAGTCTACGCCTCTAGTAAAGCTGTTTCCATTCTGGCAAAATTGTTCTCGTTCTATTGTCCAACACAGAACAAGATAACAGCTGTCATAGACTGGAATATCACACGAGTGACCAATTCCGCGCCATGTTAAAATGCCACGCCTACCCTGGCTCAGGGATAAGAGTGTACTGAATGGCGAGGACCGATTCTTTCATTCGGAGGACGCCGACCTGAAGGTTAGCGCTGACGGTTACATCGAGCAACTCGAGAAGAATATTGTCCTCACATTTCGTCGCTCGAACCGTCGTGGAGACTTCGTACTGCCTACACAGATGCTTCAGCACGTGAATTCAATAGGGCGTTGGAAAAAACTCTCGCCACTATGAATGAAGGAGCTGAATATTTAAAGAAGATGAATATTACAGAGTTAGGTCCACTGACCTAAAACCCCTCAATTACCGGTTCGGGAAGCACAAACAGGGTGTCTACAGTGCAGAGAAATCAACCCATTCTCGCTGAACTCAGTACCGACTCACGTCGCTGGCGGATTTCTCGTGGCGTGCCAGCGAAGGCTGTAGCGGGATATTATGATAGTATTCAATACGCTCTTTAATAAGGTGGTAGAAAGTCCGACCAAGAATTCACTAAAGTGTAACTTATAGCACCTCGAAAGTCAATGAAGGCAAAGTGTCTTTTTTGCCCCCCCTTGTATAATTATCTGAAAGTCGTATCAGTTGCCTCAGTATGATTTTCAATTCGTTCTTTTACCGCCGTTTCGTATCTCCGTCCAATAAGGCAAAGAGTATGACACAAACTTACTCCCTGTCTGCCGAAGAATTGTCCCAGATAGGATTGTCTCAAACAGAACCAATACTCATGTGACGTGCGACTTTTTTTGTCAGACCCCACTGGCCGAAGTCGAGGATGTCCTTCTCACGCATCCTTCGATTACTGATGCTGCAGTGATCAATGTAGCTGATAGGAGTAAAGAGCAAAAGACGAAAGCATTCGTCGTTCAACGTGATGAAAACCTTCACAGCTGAAGATGTCTACCGTTTTGTGGATGGTAAGCGCAGAAATTTTTTCATTCCTACAGTACTATTCTTTGAAAATTCCGTCGAGCTTTCTTTGACGTTTCATTCTCACAAGACATTTCCCGATTATTTGAAGCTTTAAGCGTTAGTCTACTGCCATCGATCATAAACCGCATGCAACCTCCGCAGCGGTCCCATCTGGACAGGGGTCCCGCGGGCGAACACGTTGCTGTTTGTCGTCTCCCTCACACTTGGGCTCTTGAATCTTTGGCATCTAATCTCTTCATCTGCATCCCCCAGTTCTCCCACCTCTACTATATCGCAGCTCATCCTATTTCAATAGAACAAGTAGAATATCCCACCATTTTATCTGTATTCTGAGACTCAGTAAGGTAAATCACCTTACATTAACACCAGGTCGAATCTTAGTCTACTAGGTGGTCCCTGAGTAAGAAACCCATTACAAACAACAGTACATCATTCAATTTCAGGGCAAGTGGCTCCAATTTTCAAGGGTTTGTTGAATGATGTGGTGTTTGTTCATTGTATTCCACGGAGGTGCTGATGGTCATGTTCTTCGTCGTCAACTTCAAGAAACGGTTGTTCCCGAAGAAGTTGAAGAAATAGTCGCGTCGTGAAACTCTTTATAAAAACGCACTTAATACCATTTCATTAGTTATCGTGCTAGATGTTAGACAAAATAAATATTTGATGTGAAGTTTTTGAAGGGCTCCCCAATAAGATGTTGATTTTCTTTACTTTCGATTCCACAACGAAAAGAACTTCCTATGGGAACTAGTAACTGAAGGAGCTGACCAAAAACAATAGAAATCCAACGTTGCCCGAGCGTGAGTGAATCGCAGAACGCGTGACCGAGCCTTTTACTTGACCTAGCGGCGGCCCTGCTTTTGGTTGGGTATTGTTGTTTATGGTAGGTGCAATCATGTCTTTGTCAACAGAAGACATGATAGCAGACATTCACGCCCTCCCCATCTTCGAGATACACCTTTGATTTTGCGACCCTAGGAGAGAGTAAGCGTGATGCGTGGAACAGTGTACAGCCTCGCGAAATGGCAAGCGCTGCCAGTACGACTCCTTTCCCTCACTTTAAAAGTTCCTCATCTGGTACGATCCCCTTCGTCATCTTACCACCTTCCTGAATTTTCCCAACTTCCTATCACTTTTCCGAACAATTTTTCCAATTTCTCCCCGAAAAATTTGGCGTCGATCGGGTGTAGGTGTAGGTGTGGCTCGGCAACTAAAAGGGACCGGTATACAGGGTACAGCGTGATGTGTGAGGTGGTGGTGTTAGGTACGACCCCCCTCCACATAAATGGGGGTCTCGGTACGACCTTCTTCCCCCTTCCCCAACACCTAACTACGAACTTTTCCCCATTTTCCAGTTTTTCATCGGAAAATTTCGTCGACGGAGAGGGTGGGGTGTGTATAGTGTTCATGAAACAGAAAAATCACGCAAAAGACAACAACCCGAAACCAACGACGATAACTTTTACAAGACACATACGACCACCCTCTCCCAACGGCCAAAATAGCCCCAGAAGAAAAAAGTTGCGACCCCCTATATGTTTCATACACCCCCCCCCCAGAGAAGAAAGTGGCGACCCCCTATATGTTTCATAACAACGATGCTGTTACCTCTGCCCTTGCGCGAGTATGTAGGGCGAAGAACTGAAATAAGTCAACGCCGCAAAAAAATTTCTCTAGCGGGATTGCGAAGATCTTATCTCAAAGCAGCACAAATTTGACCCTTCCTTATCCCCAGCTTTACCTAGTGCAAACCCTTCACCTACATTCTACCTTCGTAGCATTCTTTCCAGTGACGCTGTTATTCTGTCCGGTAAAGCACCAAATATGAGTTTCCTCGTATCGCCTCGAAAGGAACCGCAACGTTGGGCCCGCACACGCAACGTTTTTGTTTCTGCCGTCCCTTCCGGCCAACACCGCTTGAATGGCAGATTTGCCATATCAAAAGCAACGGCCCCACTAAATGGATGGCCTGAGAGAAATCCGAAGCCGCCCTTAAGCTTTGCGGCTAACTGCATTAGTGATCTGTTCGGAACGAAATACACTTCAGGTACCCTCGAGCAAATTATCTGGGTTTCAACTCGATGAAACAAATAAGAAGACTTGCATATGTATGCAAACCGGAGGGAAAAACATGCACAACCCTTCAATTCTTTCATGTTCGAATGCTGTACGGAAACAACCACGTTGTGGCCTGCGCCCGCGCCATCGACCAATCTCTCTCAATCGCGGCCGACGAGCTGTCAAAACCTCTTCCTGCGTGTATGACTAGATTTGGAGTTCCCAGCTCACAGTCGCACGCATCACCCGCTGAAGTTCCTGTCCGTTGGAGCTTCAGCGCGACACTTATGCAACCTCATTCAAGCATTCTGCTTACTTCATGCGTTCGGTTCACCAACGGTTCACGTTCGGACAGCAGCACACATTAACAATTATCACAAGACATGCTGATGTTGTGGCAAAAGCTCGTTGCCCCAGGCGGGAGTCGAACCCGCACCTCACGCTTTCCGGGCGAGTGCGCTATCCGTTACGCCACCAGGGCCGCTTCACCCTCTCAGCTTAACGGCTTTTATGCCGTAGCCTTACAACACTCTCACCCGTAGTGTTGTACCGGTGAAGTCCGGAATCAGCCTGTAATTCGTTTAATATCCGCATGGCAAACCGCAAGCGCCGAAGGGCCTTTTCTACAAGATGTTTGAAGCTGTTTTGTTATGATAACTGCTGTTAACGTCGGCATAAAAGCCGTAAAAGCTGAGAGGGTAAAAGCGGCCCTGGTGGCGTAACGGATAGCGCACTCGCCCGGAAAGCGTGAGGTGCGGGTTCGACTCCCGCCTGGGGCACGACTTTTGCCCACAACTCAGCATTCTTGTGATAACATTCGGAACGCGTACTGCGGCGTTAAACAGCAGTTATCATAACAAAACAGCTTCAAAATGTTGTCGATTGTGTCACCAGCAAATGCCAGCTATGAGCCTCAATGTCACTGCCATTATACTAACTTCTTTCGCCCCATAACGGGGGAATTTGTCGGAAGAGTGAAAAGTGCTAAGACTGGTGAGCAAGCTGCGGATGGTCCGATCGAGGATGGGGAAGGAGGTCATACCAGACATGAATACTGAGGCGGTCGTATTTTACAAAAATTTTTGTCAACGGCAAGACGCGCCTTATATTACAAACTTGGCCATGAACTCAAGGACACTTATGATTTAAACCCATTGTAAGGTTCTGTGTGCAGCGCGGAAGTGCTGCGCAGTGACACAGTGGCGCGGTTTAGCACGTTTTTTGTCCTTCGTGCAGCCGTCCTGAGTTCAAATCCCGGCTCGGACTCCGCCAGCGGCCAACCGAGCCTCTTCCCCCCCACCTCCCGCGTTACCTGACATCCTTGAACTTTTCTGCATGGTCATGTTACGAAATAAACCCTATGGCGCAGAGGGATGAAGGGAAGCAGCTGCCAAAGCATCGAAACGCATAAAAAACGTAGGGGGGGGGGAGCCAGGAAACGGAATTTTTCAAGGGGAGGGGAGTCCGGGGTAGGTGAGCTACTTATATCGGCGTGAAAAGCCTGCGAGGTGAGCCGAAGCCTAACGGCCTATATAGAGTGACCATGCGGACGACAGAGAGTTGCCCAGAGAGAAAGGAGAAGATCGCCCGTCCAAGAGGATTGAGTTTCAAGCTGTCCGTCAAGATCCCCCCCCCCCCTTGGGACGGTAAATGTACCAGAGTCGTCCGGGAACGCTGTTTTGTAAATCGGTTGGCCCCCGCAGTCATTGTATAGGCCACATCGCATTCAATAAGCCACTACGATTCTGAATGGAAGTAGTATGCGTGCCTCATCTCAGAAAGGGATTGATCAACGGCGACCTTTATCCTTTGATCCTTTTTCAGCGCTCTGTAGGGAAAGGCAGAGTGGACTGCAACGAACAACCCTGCATATGTTTCACGTCTGGAAGTGGTGAAGTAGGAACGACACGACACATGTGCTGCACATGTGACTCTGCCCACTTTGATAGATGTCTTATCTGCTGTCTTGCTCGTTGGCATGCTCTCTCGCTGCTTTCTCTGGGCTCTCGCCCAACATCCACACCGATTCTTTATCTCCCGCTTGGCCCAAGTAGTTATTTGGAGCCTTCTCAACTGTTTCCTCTCGTTTTTTTTTGTTCAAGTCAAGTAGCACATACATTTCTGTTTATGACCCCGCTATCAACGAGCTTTTCGCTGGCTCATCACAAACTCTGCCCTTACGCTCGTCAGTTATAAATACGTTATGACACTTATAGTATCTTAACCCTGATGAGAAAGTGTAAGCAGTTGGCTACATGACCGCCAAGTATTGACGCAAGAACTCTGCACCAAACAAAATCCGTTACTGCACTTCAAGCGAGAGCATTTTAGCCCAGCATTTATCGCGGGAATACCACACCGATCAACGCACTCTATTCACATAGCTGAACTCCCTTCATAATTCACATCAATTTATGTGCTGGGGGAGAAATCATTGATGTTTGCACAAGCAGAGACTAAACTGCTGCGTAAATACAGCAATGAAGCATCTTCAAAAAAAGTTCAACGAGCAGAGGTAGAAATTTTTATCGATCGCGCAACAGAACATCTACTTATACACTATGCAGTCTTACAAAATATGCAACATAAATATACACACTACTTATGGGCAAAAAGAGAACGACCTCTAACAACGCTATGAGTATAGTAAGCTACCGAAACAAATGGGGCTTTTGGCAGGACATCACACCGAACAAGATTTAGGGCGGTATACATTTAGCAAAGTGTTCAACAGACTCAAACGGTGGCCTCTCACCCTACTTTTGGGAAACAAAATGAACAATTAAGTGAATGGAGTGGTTGCAATGAATCAAAAGAGTTGTCAATGCCACAGAGGCGAGAAAGATTGCGGCAAATCACTCGAAAGCAACGTACGCGGTAAACTCTGTGCTACTGGGATTCAG